TTAGGGATTCCTACAATCAGATGAAGTTCACATTTTTGGTTATGCGAGGTCAAAAATTTCTGATGATGATCTAAGAAACCGCATACGTGGGTGAGATATGGAACCTTCTCTATCTTTACTCTTAATGTCGTTTTTTATTTGATCGAGTCAACTTACTGGAATCATTGATTTTTTCATGAAATCAATCGCCGTGTATTAGCTTTATAATCAATCATTTGTGCACTGGGCATCTATGTATTTTACTTCGAGAGTGTCATTAAGAATTCTATTTCTGCATTGATACTTCGGTGTATTATGCTCCATTGATACCTCTTATATAATCTCTGTCGACTGTTTCCATTGTGAGGGATTGCTCAATATGAATAATGATTGCAGGTATCTTGTCCAAGGAAAAACTTCTGATGCCGTGCAGTTAGAAGAAGTATCCAAGTTTCTGAAGTTGGTTAGTTTTACTCGATTTACGCATTGTTGTTGCGTTAGTATCGTAATATACTCACTAGAATTACGTGCATGCATAAATGCAATAAACTTTGCAGATCAAATATGTTAGTGGTTCGTATGATTCTGCGGAGGGCTTTCAGAAGTTGGATAAGGAAATCTCAGAGCATGAGGTTTCCAGAAATAGTGCGGAGGGAACATCTCGCAGGCTGTTCTATTTTGCACTTCCTCCTTCGGTATATCCGTCTGTCTGCAAGATGATCAAGCATTATTGCATGAATAAGTGTAAGCTTTAAGTGCAGATTATTTTCTTGTGGTTGGCGTTCGTTTATATCTGGATATTGATTATCAAAGGCTGTTTAATCCACATTTAGCTGATCTTGGTGGATGGACCCGGATTGTTGTGGAGAAACCTTTTGGGAAGGACTTAGCATCTGCTGAGAAGTTAAGTTCCCAGATTGGAGAATTATTTGACGAACCACAAATTTATCGTATTGATCACTATCTGGGGAAGGAATTGGTTCAAAATCTGGTAATATTGACGTAACTAAGATATTATTTGTAGTCTCTGACTTTTAAAACGACAGTCTTATGTATGTTCTTGCATGATTTGAATTCTCAGTTGGTACTTCGTTTTGCAAACCGCTTTTTCTTGCCCCTTTGGAACCGTGACAACATTGATAATGTACAGGTGAGAATTCATGGTTCATTACTTTATGTGAACATCTGCAAAACTCTTAAAATAAATTCAAGGCTGTTGAAGTACAATTAATTTGAAAGTTCTAGCTTGGTTGAACTTTTTAAAAGTTGTGTACTAATGCTTGTTTTTTCTTCCCCCCTTTCATTTTGTTCCCTTGTAGATCGTGTTCAGGGAGGATTTTGGTACCGAGGGGCGTGGTGGATATTTTGATGAATATGGGTATGATCTTCGACTTACTTCTGATCATCTGAAAATCTCTATTTTAAACTTTTATCCTTTGTAAAACACTTACAAAATTAGAAAGTAGTCCTTTAGGCTTAAAACACTTATTCTAAAGCCATTTCTAAACACACCTTCAATTCAATATCACTTATGATTGTGTAGAAATCACTTTTAAAACTGTAGAACCAAATATTACAATGATCATATGAAAATCAATTTTAATAGATCACTATAAACGTATCATATTTGCTAAAATCACTCCCAAACATGTGTTTATTAATCTAAACAAGTCACAATTCAAGTTCTATTTTGCAGGATTATTCGTGATATCATTCAAAATCATCTATTACAGGTGAGAAGTTGTTCTTGACTCGAGATATTTTTGGTTTCTAGAGCACTTTAAAGTTTTTAAACGGACTTTTTATCACAATGGACCTAAAATTTGTAGGATTCGATTTGTTGTTGCATTACTTTGACTTAACTATCTACTAATTTTGCACTTCTAGAAGTTCTTAAATTGTTTTTTTTTTTGGCTGCCTTCTCAGGTTCTTTGTTTGGTTGCTATGGAAAAACCTATTTCCCTCAAACCCGAGCACATCCGAGATGAGAAAGTAAAGGTAGGAACTCAAACCAAAAGAAATCTTATTGTATATTTAACCGGCGTTTAAATTGTATATGTATACTTAATTCTCAAGTTCCTTGAATTTGGGTCTCCTCTTTCTACTCTCAAATTCCACGGGCTTTTTTGGGACAGGTTCTTCAGTCAGTGCTGCCAATTAAGGATGAAGAAGTAGTTCTTGGGCAATATGAAGGTTACAGGGATGATCCTACCGTTCCTGATCATTCAAACACACCAACCTTTGCTACTATGGTGTTAAGGATTCATAATGAAAGATGGGAAGGTAAGAGAATACTCTTCAAAGCTAAGTTACATAGTTTTCAGGTGGGCTTTTTTATGAACATTTAGCCTCTGGATTCTATGAATTAACTGTGTCGTTCTTTCGTATGTATTCGTTTTCAGGCGTCCCTTTTATAATGAAGGCAGGAAAAGCATTGAGCTCAAGAAAAGCGGAAATTCGAGTTCAGTTCAAGGATGTTCCTGGTGACATTTTCAGATGTAAGGCCTCCAATCTAAAGTGTCATTCGTAATCTATATCGTATCAGTTCTTCTCACTGGTATATGCATTATTGGCTGGGTGCTTGATGTTTTGTTGTGAATGTGTAGAATTATTAAAATACATCATCGAGATCGAGCATGCTTTTGTTTAGTTGCTCGAAATTGATCAATGTTCATGATGCAGGTAAAAAACAAGGGAGGAACGAGTTTGTGATTCGCTTGCAACCTTCCGAGGCTATGTACATGAAGCTTACGGTACGAAAAAAAATTCGTATAAGCTAACGTCACACCATTAGACATTTATGTTCATAATGCTTGAAAGGGTATCTAATAGAGAATTGCCAATGTTCATGACTCCCTTAAACTAGAAATCCGATTGGTCGCTATGTATGTTTCAGAGCTCGATATCTCGACTCTCTTGATTGAAAACACTTAACGAGGCAACCTGGTTCAGTTCATGAGTTCTATTATTACTCATCTTCTTTTCTGTGGACTTTGCAGGTCAAGAAACCTGGACTGGAAATGTCAACTGTACAGAGTGAATTAGACTTGTCATATCGCCAACGTTATCAGGGCGTTACAATTCCAGAGGCATACGAGCGTCTCATCCTCGACACGTAAGACCCATCCTTTATCTTCTGTAGCATTCACGTCGTTTACATGGTAACATTCATTAACAACATTAAACACTCTCGCAGAATAAGGGGCGATCAGCAGCATTTCGTCCGTCGAGATGAGCTGAAGGTAACGTTTCAACACTAACGAATTACGAATCTTCTAATTCTTATCAACTTCATGCTCACAAACAGTTTTCTCGTTCAGGCCGCCTGGGAGATCTTCACGCCATTGCTGCACAGAATCGACAACGGTGAGGTGAAGTCGCTTCCTTACAAACCCGGGAGCCGAGGTCCGGCCAAGGCTGACGAGCTACTGGAAAAAGCTGGTTATGTTCAAACCCATGGCTACATTTGGATCCCTCCCACCTTGTAGAAAAAGTTATTTGATTTCCATTTCCGCTGTACTTGATGTTAAAAGCCTGATCTGCAGCTTATGAGTTTGCTACTTATCTTGGATCAAAATAAGGATTTTAGTGTGGCGTGTATAAAAGAATACTAAAGCTTTACACCCAGAGGTAATAATCATAATTCTCTTTCCATAAGCATTTACTCATCTTAGGGATCGGCTCAACGACCTACCTACCGGTTTAGGTAAATATCTAATGGACTCCCTGACGGAAGAGGTCATTTTCTTGAGGAGAAAATGTCCCTTTACTTATTATTATTATATGACGACATGTGTGCGTGTCACAATTCCACTTTGTCAGGACTCCTAACAAATATAATTATGAATTTATTAGACACTTTTTACCATTCCTATTATAAAAATTAATTCTACTGAATGACATTTTTATTGTTGGGAGGATTTATGATTAATATAATAATGAAAGAGAGGCAAAGCCTCCCAAAAGAGTTGCATAAAACCTCTTCAATTGGATAAAAACAAGTGGCCTTGTGGTTGTGAGCTATGCTTGCCATTAGAACACCAATGGGGTTTATCATGAGTATTAATAGCTTTGTGGCTGGCTTCCTCTCCCATAGAAAAAGCTTTACTTTCTTTGGATAATGGTCACTCCAAATTACTTTATAGAGCTCTCGGGCTGTTTCGTTTAGAATTTGATTGAGGTCGTGCACCAAGGAGCTGACTGAGAACATACCGTTTGGTTCGATCTTCCAAAAATCTCTATCAGGGGATCATGGGAGATGTGCTGTAACAACCCAGGTCCACTACTAGTGTATATTGTCCTCTTTGGACTTTCCCTTTTGGACTTCCCTTCAAAGATTTAAAACTCTTTTCTTCCTCCAATCGATGTGGAACTGCCCCCAAATTCATCCCCTTTGGGGCCCAGCGTCCTTACTGGCACATCGTCCAGTGTCTTGCTTTGATACCATTTGTAACAAGCCAGATCCACCACTAGTAGATACTGTCCTCTTAGGGCTTTCCCTTTCGGGCTTGCCCTCAAAACTTTAAAACGCGTCTGTTAAGGGAAGGTTTCCACACCCTTATAAATGGTGGTTTGTTCTTCCCCAACCAATGTGGGACATCACATGTGCCCCTCCAAGCCAAGTATCGTCCCAAAAAAGGTTTTTATTTTCGTATTTATTTATTATTGTTTTTGTAAGAAACCGAGTTTTCAGGAAAGACTAAACAAATGCACAAACCAAAGAAACTCAAGAGATCATCCCCAATCTTGTAGCATACACGGCTATGTATTAGATTTCGGAACTTTAATATAGCCTCCCAAGGGCCTTTGGTTGCTGTTGCTGTGGAGGATACCGGTTTAGTGTTCAAAAGGGAGGATCTAGATTTGGCATCAATAATCTTCCTCCAAAGGGTTTTTTGTTTGTGAAGGTATCTCCAAGGCTTGGTATAGGTTGCAAATAGAAAGTAGTATGCCTATCTCGTCTTATGATTAAAAATTTTCATGCCTTTCATACATGAACATATTTAGGTTAGTGATTTGGGTTGGATGTCTATTAACTTGACTTCTTGCATGATGTAGAGACTATGGCACCTACAACACGTAGCACTAGCAGAGCTAGAGGTACGAGGCTAGCAGAGACTCCAACAAAGTCGGACCCTACTCATACACGTAGCACTAGTAGACGTAGAGGTACGAGGCCATTGAAGACTCCAACAAAGTCTGATCCTACCCAGAATTCTGCACAGAGACAGGTGCCACAATTGCCGGTGTTGGAACCCGTAGTAGCTCCACCCCCTAACATGGTAATGCTGAGCATGGAAGCCTACCAAAAATTGATTCAAGCCGCTGCGGCCAATCAAGAGGGAGGGGGAGATGTTGATAGTACTAGTATGACTAGGGAGTTCAAGTATCTGAGAGACTTCCGTAAATATGACCCGCCAGTGTTTGAAGGAAAGACAATAGACCCCGTGCTTGTTGAATCTTGGGTTGAGTCTATAGAAACTATATTTGAGCACATGAAATGCCCTGAGGATCAGAAGGTAAAATGTGCCTCCTTTATGCTTAAGGGCGAAGCTCACTTCTGGTGGAAGACTGCCCAACAAACCCTTAGGAAAGAAGATGAGGATGAGGAGCCAATATGTTGGCATGAGATGAAGAGGGCGTTCATCCACAAGTACTACCCGGCGGTAAATTGGTACAACAACCGGGAAGCTTTTCTGCATCTGAAACAGGGAAACATGACAGTGGAAGACCCACGTGCCCCACTTGTGGTCTCAGACACTCCGGACAGTGCAGGGTTGGTACTGACGTGTGTTATCACTGTGGTAAGAGTGGCCATAGGAAGACAGATTGTCCCCACAGGAGGCAACGAGGCCTCAACGTTTGGACGGAGCAGCTAGGAAGGCTCGACTCAGAGTAGAGGCATGACCAGGGCCACCAACGGGAAGAGAGTAGAAGATACTGACACTGGTGACATGTACTTTACTAATGCTCGGATATCATGCATTCGTGTTATTTTATTCTAGATTCACACACTCGTTTATTTTTGCTACATTTGTAAGGCATGCACGGTTAGGACTATAGCCTTTAGAATACAGGTTATCGGTGTCTACGTCGTCAAGAGAGATATTAGTGGTAGATGAGTAAGTCCAAGCCTATAAAGTAGTGTTAGAAAGACCCTTAGATGTGTTGCTGATTGTATTAGATATATGTGATTTTGACGTTATACTATGCGTGGATCAGGACGTGATATTATACATAGATGATCTATCCCCAAGACGACCCTCAGGAGCAAATACAACCATTATAAGTTTATTGTGATGTCATTCAGATTGACTAATGCCTCTGCAGCAGTTATGGACTTGTTGATGAACATAGTGTTTAAATACTTCCTTGACATTTTGTGATAGTCTTCATCGACAACATATTGATATATTCCAGAACTGATGCATAGCATGAGACACACCTGAGAAGGGTGCTGTCAGTATGCGCATCGACTCTATGCCAAATATTCAAAGCGAATATTGGTTGCAGGTAATGACCTTATTGAAACTCATTATGTTAGGACATGACATCTCAGTAGATTCAATCAAGGTCGAGGCAATGATGAACTGGCTCGACCCATCTTAGTTACAAAAGTGAGAAGCTTCTTGGGATTTACAGGATATTATCGAGGGTTTATTCAGGACTTCTTTAAGATTGTTGCGTCTCATGCAATTAACAAGAAAAGGAAAGGTGTTCTCTTGGAACAAGGCTTTCGAGCAAAGTTTTAGAGAACTGAAGCACTGGTTTGTGACGACACTTATGCTCCAATGCTCAACGACTCAAGTAACTTTGTGGTTTATTATGATGCATCAGGGAAGGGGCTAAGTTGCATCCTGATGCAGAATGATCACGAAAGGGGCTAGGTTGCATCCTGATGCAGAATGATCAGGTCATTTCCTACGTCTTGAGATAGTTGAAGGAATATGAGTGAAATTACTCGACCCATGACCTAAAATGGATAATAATAGGGTTTTCTCTAAGCATATAGCGACATTACTTGTACGAGGAGTAGACACAGATTTTTACTGACTCCAAAAACCTAAAAGACCTATTCACAAAGGATATCAATATGAGACAAAAGTATTAGTTGAAGCTGGTAAGTGATTATAACATAGAGATCTTGTATCATCCAAGCAAGATGAATGTTGTGGTAGACACCTGAAGTGGACAAGCAACCCATTCCTCTGCTTTAATTACTAGAGAGGTCGAGTTACAAGCAGACATGGAAATGATCGATATTGAGGTAGTGGCATGGTGAGTCATAGGGAGACTCTCCTAGCTTAGAGCCCAACCAGGGATAAGACAACGCATTATGAGTCTCCCTAGCTTAGAGCCCAACCAGGGCTAAGATAATGCATGATTTGCACACAGACGAGTGACTCCTACATAGCTAGGATTTACCAACAATATAAGGAAGAAAAGGATAAGGGATTTTCCATATCATTCAACGAGTTATTGTATCATAGAAGGTTGTGTGTCCCTAATGTTAACATGAATAAGAGGGATATTAAGACAGTGGCGTATGAATCACCATATGCTATGTGCATTCAGGTAGTACCAAAATGTAATAGGATGTAAAGGCAAACTACTGGAGGCCAAGTATAAAGCTTCTATTGATCCTAGTTCGTGCGTTCCTAAATAGAATTTGATGCTTCTTGGATGGTTAGATTCGTCTCGAGGAGATCTTCAAAGTTGCTAAAGAGATTGGAACCAATTGAGGGTTGTGACATAATAATCAAGCGAGGAAAAAGGTAAGGATTCCCAGTTGGAGACCCTCATAGACAAAGGTAGAAGACGAGTTTTTCTTGAATCGACTCGACTCGTTTAGCTGAACCAGACCGAACTGGACCAGTTGTGGTCCATCTGAACTAGATCTCTGTTTTTATCCTGGTTTGGTCATTTGCACTCATTTTCGCCCCAATTTTATGGTTTGCTATTTTTGCTTAATGTAGGACCTAATTAAAGACTTTTGAAAAATTTTGAAAATTCTTGTAGACTCGAATTGAGCTCGAGAAGTCGACATTCGAATAAGTAGCCACATGGATTATTTTTCAAGTAATACTTGTAAGGGTCAATTAGAACATTGAGTTACTGATTAGAAAACATGATTTGAGTCCTAATTAACCGTTTGAGAACTATGATTAATTGTAATGATATATTTAGGACTCCAGATGTCTTGTGTAATTGTTAATTGTTTTTTTGAGCATTTTGGACATTTATGTATGGTATACTTGTAGGAGCATGTTACAGGGATTAAGACATTAGGTATGCCCAATTAATGCTTTGGATATCCGCTATGTACCTTAGAGAGTTTGGAAGGATATGTGAATGAACATGAGCTGTTATTTTATGTCTCCTTAGTCATATATAATAGGCATTTCTGGTTGAACAACTATTAACTAGGGACGACCGGAGAGTAACCCTTGATCTTAAACTTTCCTAGAGCAGGTAGGGTCTACTTGGTACACAAAGTTGTCAATTTTAAATAGAGAGTAACCCTTCATCTTTACTATTATTGTAAAATTGGTTTTAATTCATGTTAATTTGGACACTAATTTTATCATTTAATAAAAATAAAATATCTATTTAATTATTTTCAAATATTTAATTAAAATTTACCACTTAATTTTAATATATAAAGAAATTAAATAAATAAAAATTTAAAATAAAGAGCTTCTCTGTCGGGCTCGAGCATTCGTTCGCAAATTCCGGATTTGGAAATGAAGAGCTTCTCCTTTTCCACCCTAATTCTTCGATCGCCATACCTGAGCCCTAATCCTTTTCTGCGCCTTCAATGCCGAGGAATTGCCAAGGTTCGCCTCAAATGGGTCAAGAATCGGAGTCTCGATCACATCATCGACACGGAGACCGATTTGAAGGCCGCTTCCCTCCTCAAGGACGCCATTAAGCGCTCCTCTACTGGCTTCGTTACTGTTAAATCCATCGCCGATTGGCAGAAGCTGCTCGGCCTCACCATCCCCGTTCTTCGCTTCATCCGGAGGTATCCGACTCTCTTTCACGAATTTCCTCATTCTCGTTACGCTAATTTGCCTTGCTTTCGTTTGACGGATACCGCGCTGCTTTTAGATCAGCAAGAGACTAGTGTTCACCAAATTCATGAGAGCGATACTGTCGAAAGGCTTTGTAGAGTGCTTATGATGATGAAAAATAGGGCTATTCCTCTTCCGTCGTTGCGTCCTCTAGAATGGGATCTAGGTCTCCCGTGTGGCTTTGAGAGGTCATTGATTCCCAAGTATCCGGATCATTTTCGATTAGTCAAGGCCTCGAATGGGGATTGGTGTCTGCGGCTTATGGAATGGGCCGAGGAATTTGCAGTTTCAGCCTTGCAAAGGAGCAACGAGAGCTCTGAACTGGGCGATGCGTATAGGCAATTCAAAAGGGGGCGTACCACATTGGCTTTTCCTATGAGTTTTCCGAGGGGATATGGGGCACAAAAGAAGGTAAAAGCTTGGATGGAAGAGTTTCAAAAGTTACCTTACGTTTCTCCATATGAGAGTTGCAGGCAAATTGACCCCAACAGTGATCTCATGGAGAAGCGAGTTGTTGGGGTTCTACATGAGCTTTTGAGCCTCACTCTTCACAAGAAAACTAAAAGAAACTATTTGAGAAGCTTGAGAGAGGAATTGAATCTTCCCCATAAGTTCACTCGAATCTTCACCCGTTATCCCGGAATCTTCTATCTGTCTTTGAAGTGTAAGACCACGACTGTTTCTCTTAGGGAAGGGTATCAGCGAGGAAAGCTAGTGAACCCACATCCCTTGACACGTCTTAGGGAAAAGTTTTATCATGTCATGAAGACTGGTCTGTTTTACCGGGGGAAAGGTGCTGCATTGATAGAAAAGGAGGGCATTCTGCTTAATAATACAGCCGAGGAGATGGTGGAGAATGGTTTGGATGTTGAATCAGATGAGACGGGTGATGATGAATGCTTAGAGGACGAGAACTCGCAGGCAGAGGAATCTGATTCAGATTAATGGAGTCTGATAACTGGATCCTCCCTTTGCTAGTTGCCAAAAAAGAGGGACAAAAATCAATGCCTCCTGTGCATATATATGCGAAATGTGAGTTTACTCTTTTCCTAGTTATTCCTTCATTAGTTTCGTTCATCACTTGTCTTGGAGGAACTTAAAGTATTGGGAAATTAGGGAGCAATTGATTTGATTGCAATTTAGACGGATTGAGTGATATCTTTTGTTTTGCTTGCAGTTTTATTGGCTGATAACTCCATTCGAGGGATCAACATTGTCCCATGCAAAGCAATGCTTTATAGTTTATGCGATAAAGACATAAGCTATAGAGGAAAGAAATGGTTTGTGGTGACAGAGATTTGGAAAGATGGGACTATCCGCTTTCCCGACCCAGGAAAAGAAATGCTGAAGCGTTGCTATGCAAGAAACAGCTTCGTTTTCATACTAAATGACGTTAACTCAAAACTCGATCCAGCAAAAGGTTGAAGAGGACATGGCTGGTAAAGAAATTATATATTTGCTTCTTTAGTTACATAATTTATGACCTTCCTTTGTTTCTGTTATACATGCATTGAAGGCTGAAAATAGTTGTTTGGGCACTTCTCCTCTAGAAGGTTAGACAATGAGAGTCATTTTGTTGGCGTTTCTCTGTTAGAAATCATATCTGGAATTTTATTTGTTAGGTTGTAGACTATGAACAATGTAGAGACAAGCTAAGCTATGCATGATTTTCATGGTGCTTGTGTTGTAAAGCTTATCAAGCTTACATTTATAAATTTAATTCGCCTCAGCCTTTTTGGGTTAGACCGAAGTGTGTTGTCTCTGTTGCATGCATTTAGTGATATGAACCAAGATATTAATAATGTAAGATAAACTTCAAGGAAGATATAACGAAAATGTTGTTCAAATTATCGCAATATGTTGTAATTCATGTCACATTAAAGAAAAATCAAACTTCATTTATTCTTAAATGTTTACAAATTTTGGTTTGAGTTATGGTGTTTCTTTATTTTATTTTAAGGTTAGTGGTTAATTATGGTCATAAAGTATCAAGGTTACAATTCATGAAATGCCTCATGGAATGTCAAGAATTTTCATTTTATGGCTATATAAAGTATGTTTTGGTGCTTTCTTCTCTACAATTTTATGTGGTTTATATTGCATATTTAGAATCATTCAAGCTTGACATGATTGATATTGCTCGTGGAGTGATTCGAATCTCAAACAAGTGTTCTTGACTTGAGATATTTGATCAACAAGGTAATCCGAATTTTATTTTCCCTTGGAGTGAAGTTAAATTGATTTTTGGGTTTTTAGCTTTTATGAACTAGGAGTTTGCATATCCAAGCTCCTATGAGGGTTTTTAAATAGGTATTTCTTATCATTTAACTGACTAAGTATTTCTTATCATTTAGTGTACTCAGATAACCAATTCATATATTTGGACAGTAACCTTTTGTACTATAAAATAGAAGCGCTATATATATATACATATATATATATATATACATATATATATATATACATATATATATATATATACATATATATATATATATACATATATATATATATATACATATATATATATATATACATATATATATATATATATGTATATATATATATACATATATATATATATGTATATATACAGATACATATATATATATATACAGATACATATATATATATATATATATATGTATATATCAAGAAGAGGTAGGTTGGATAGGATGCTACTTCAAAAAGGAAATTTATTGAGGTTCGTGGATAAGATAGGATACTAATTGTAAAACGAAGTGGTTTTTCCACCCTAGAAGGGGGCATCGTAGATCTATACCAAAATTTTAGAAAACGAAGGATCGAGCCGAGCGTTAGGGTAAATAGGCTCGATCAAAATGTAAGAGATTTAATTTTTTAGAACTAAAAAGTTAGTTTTTTTTTTTTTTTAATTGAGTCACATAATTGTTGCCATAGAAGAAGCATAAATGAAGTTCATCCTTGTGGGTTTGTTTGAATCATAGATAATATTATGTCATGGGTATAAATTCGTGTTTTAGTTTAATTAATTTCTGGCGTGTAATATATATATATATATTAAACATTATTAGTTTGTATTTGTTTTACCAAAATAAATCATAATTAAATAATTACATTTAAAATGTTAATATAATATTAATAATTGTTTAATATGTTTAATTAATTTAAATTTATGTCTTTGCTATAGTAGTATATTTTTTATAACTTTTATTGATAAAATTTTAATTAACAATTAATTAATTAAATGTAAGAAAATAAATTAATGTAATCATAAATTAAACTTAGTATTATTTAATCTATAGCTTAATTAATTAATCATAAGAAGTATAAATATAGAAAATAGAAACTTCGTTGGGAGCAGGAAATGCACGCCTTTAGAAGGATGTCATTCATTGGTAGCAATTTAGAGGTGATATGAGCAAAGAACTCGAGCCAAAAGCAAGATACACGAGCCGAGCTTATAAAATGAATAGATGGTTGGATTGAGAATCCGATCTAGAGTGCAAATTCTAGATACATATAATTAATTAACTACTAACCCAGTAAATTAATTACTCAACAAAATTATACTTAATATCATTTTTAGATAAATGAGATTCAACGTGAGTGGAAAGACACGGTAAAGTTATATAAACTTCATGTTCCAGATTTTGAACTTGTTTAAGGTTGTGTTTTCAACTTACCATTTTCTCATACTCACAGAATAACTTCTACCATTTTAAGTCATCTAAATTTCTAAACGTTAACATTGTTGCTCTCTCGAATATCTCAATTTCTAAATTGTTGCTTGAAAATAGAGAATTAAATTTGTTGGATGAAAGTTCCACGTCCGCTAATTTAATGAATGATCATGGGTTTATAGACAAGGAATATTATCTTCATTGTTATGAGGCATTTTGGTATGCCTAAAGCAAAACAATGAGAGATTATGCTCAAAGTGGACAGTGTCATAATTGTGAAGAGTCGTGTTCATTTAACATGGCATCAGAGTCTTGCCATAAACTTCGCTATGTTCAAAGGGAGGTAGGTGTTGGATGAAAACTTTGTTTAAATGGAGGTGTTGGATGAAAGTCTCACATCGGCTAGTTTAGGGAATGAATGAGTTTATAATTAAGAAATAGTATCTTCATTAGCTGGAAAGTCCAAAACAAAGCCACTAGAGCTGTGGAGAGTCCTATTTGTTTAACAGGGTTGAATTATAAAACTTTGTTCAGGTTGGTTCGGGTTATTCGAGTCTCAATCCAATCAACTAAAAAATTCCTGTTTGTACAAACTATTTTATATATCCAATCCAATGGAAGGGATTCCTAATTTAAATAAATTAACATTTAAAAGAGTTTTAATTGTGAGTTTTGTAAACTCATTAAATTACTTAAGCGGCAATAAAAATCTCCTTGACTCAAAATTTTTGTTAATCATTCATGAACTATCAATGACGTTCTCAAATTTGTTCCATTCTTCAAATCTTTCCCTTTCATGGAACAATGCTCTCCGCGTGCTGGCACCAAAAGCTACCAGTCAAAATCCCAACGAAGCCTAACCGAAACCCACACCCCACTGCCCTCAAAGATGAGCTGAATGTCTCATTCCTTTCTTCCCCTTTTCGAATTCAGGCGGATTAATCAATTTTACAACAATCCAACCCTACATTCTGTTTCGCCCTTTGATTTCTCTTCGATCCCTCTCGTTTTGGAGGGAGGAAGAAGATCAAAGAAGGAGAAATGGAAAGCGTAGCCGTCTGGCAAACGGTGGGTTTATGTGGGTTACTCTCGTGGATTGGTTTAGCTTCCTACATTAACCTAACTCAGAAGCTTCGATCCTTGCTGCGACCTTGGGTGGCTCGACATGTCATAGCAGGCGCTCCTCTTGTTCTTCGAATCCAGGTTTGCGATTTTTTGAAACTGATTATGCTTGTGTTCGTGTTTGGATTCGTTGTTTAAGGGTTTGTGGGTTTGCAGAGATATCAGAATTCGTTCTTCGATGCCATGTTTTCTGGGTTGTCTTGCATCGTTTCTGTGTCGTTCTACACTGCTTTTCTTCCGCTGCTATTCTGGGTATGTTTTAAATCTCTCGCTAATCGTTTATCTTTCACTTCGTTGTTCATGCGCTTACTTTTTGTGTGAAATTGTAGAGTGGGCATGGGAAATTGGCTCGGCAAATGACTCTTTTGATGGCGTTTTGCGATTACTTGGGGAATTCCATTAAGGTTACCAGCCTTGTTCTTTTTGATTTTTCATGAATTCAAGCTTCTTATCCTCTTTTGTCCTTTTTTTTTTTGTGTACTTTGTAGGATGTGGTATCAGCTCCTAGACCCAGTTGCCCACCTGTTAGGAGAATTACTGCCACCAAAGGTGAGGAAGAAAACGCCATGGAATATGGATTGCCCTCTTCTCACACGCTAAATACAGTTTGTTTATCTGGGTATGTGGTTCCTTTCCCTTCATGGTTCATATGCTTGCTATTTCCTTTTTGGTATCATATTGGTGTGTGAGATCTCATATTAGTTGGGTGGAGAACAGAACATTCTTTATGAGGGTGTGGAAACCTCTCCCTAGCGTGTTTTAAAACTTTGAGGGGAAGCCCAAAGAGAACAATATTTGCTAGCGGTGGACTTGGGCTGTTACAAATGGTATCAGAGCCAGACACCGGGGGATGTGTTAGCGAGGAGGCTGAGCCCCGAAGGGGGTGGATACGAGACGGTGTGCTAGCAATGATGTTGAGTCCCGAAGGGGGTGGATTAGGGATCCCACATCGATTGGAGAAGGGAATGAGGGCCAGCGAGGACGCTAGACCCCGAAGGGAAGGTGGATTGTGAGATCTCACATTGGTTGGGGAGGAGAACAAAACATTCTTTATAAGAGTGTGAAAACTTCTCATAGCAGACGCATTTTAAAACCTTGAGGGAAAGCCCAAAGGGGAAAGTCCAAAGAGAACAATATCTGCTAGTGGTGGATTTGGGCGGTTACAACTTGAGGGTATTTTTTTTTCTCTTCTCTTAGGGTGTGGTTGCGGTTCATTCTAGGATGTGATTTTTGGCAAAAATCTTTGTTTATAACGGGTTACGAGACTCGAGCCTCGACTTAGATTTTCACGTGGGTGATGCTGATGTTTATAGTGACTTGTTGCCTTTTCTGCTTTTGTTGAATTTGTGTTCTGTGCTTGTAAATTTGATTGATCTAACTGATGTATATATAATCTTCGTTGAGAGTATCAAGTGGATAAGCAACTATAGGTTTGGCAGGGAGACATGGGAAAGATGATTAGCAGAATTATGCCTTCCCTTTCATAGTGTGGATGATTTGGATGGAAGGGGTCTCTTTCTCTTCAATTGAACACAGTTTGGTTAGCTAGGATGCTCCAAAAAGTGCTTTAAATGTGAGAATAGTGATATGCATATTTGCAGGCATTGAGAAGTATTGGGACATGAGAAAAAGACAGATAAAACAAAAGGTGCTTGAGCTCCATTGAATCCATTTCTGAAGGACTCACTTCAAGGTTGGAGTGTGATATCCCACATCGATTATAGCGGGGAACAAAACATTCTTCATAAGGGAATGAAAACTTCTCCCTATCAGACACGTTTTAAAACCTTGACGGAAAGACTAGAAAGGAAAGTCTAAAGAGGACAATATCTGCTAGCGGTGGGCTTGGGCTGTTACAAATGGTATCAGTGCTAGACACTGGGCGGTGTGCCAGCGTCCTCGCTGAACTCCGAAGGGGGGTAGATTGTGAGATCCTACATCAATTGAAGAAGAAAACGAGTGCCAGCGAGGAAGTTGGACCCTGATGGGGGGTGGATTGTGAGATCCCACATTGGTTGGAGAGGGGAACACAACATTCCTTATAAGGGTGTGGAAACCTCTCCCTAGCATATGTGTTTTAAAACCTCGATAGGAAGTCCGGAAGGGAAAGCTAAAAAAGGACAATATCTGCTAGCGGTGGGCTTGGGCTGTTACATGGAGACTTTTTGAAGGAGTTCTCATCTCAACCTTTATCTTTAGAATCAACGAGTAAAAGACTAACATTCATATGAACTTCAACTTTGCAAATATGCTCAAATGTTGGAGCAAGTAATTGAATTATGTGAAGTGACTCGAGTTCCAAGAAAACTTGAAAGTCAAAAGTGAACGGGGAACGATCTCAGATACTAGACCCTTTTAACATGAAAGTTTGCATTGGTTGAAAACAGATCAATATTAACATTCAAGCCCACCGCTAGTAAATATTGTCCGCTTTGGCCTATAAAGTATCGCCGTCAGCCTCACAGTTTTAAAATGCGTCTACTAAGGAGAGGTTTCACCCCCATATAAGGAATGTTTCTTTCCCATCTCCAACCGATGTGGGATTTCGCAATCCACTCCCCTTGGGCACCCAACGTCCTCGCTGGCACAGCACCTAGTGTCTAGCTATGATACCATTTGTAACCGCCCAACCCTACCGCTAGTAGATATTGTCCACTTTGGTCCGTTACGTATCACTGTCAAACTCACGGTTTTAAAACGCATCTATTAGGGAGAGGTTTCCACACTCTTATAAGAAATGTTTTGTTCCCCTCTCCAACCGACGTATGATCTCACAAACATAGTTTAAGAGAGGGTATGTTGGACCAAAAAGTTCCAGCTCATTTTTCTTTGATTCATTTTATCTCATTTTTAATTTTCTTTGTTGTTTTGGGCTCTATCCAGTTTAGGATTGCCATAAAATTTCATTCTACAATGTATTGCCTCTTTTCAGCCTATATTATTGTCTTGACAGCTATTTTCCATTAATATAATCGTGCAGATACCTCTTGTATTATATCCTATCTTATACTGAAGATATACATGCCTCCTACCAGTTCACAGGATTTGCCCTTGTCTGTCTGCTTGTAGGCCTCATTGGCTTGGGTAAGCCTTTGAGTAAAAACTTATGAATTTTATACCTTTTTTGGTCTCCTTTTCCGATATGAAAGTTTTCATTCTATGGCAGGGAGAATATACCTGGGCATGCATAGTCCAATTGATATCATATTTGGTCTTGTTTTCGGCCTGATGATTCTCTTATTTTGGTTGAATGTTCATGAGTACGTGGACAGCTTCATTACCTCGGGCCAAAACGGTATTGTCACTTTTTCACACTTTTGTCGCTATCTTTTCTCGAGTTAAGTTTAGGTTATGTGCTGTATTTTTAGGAGATTCTTCTTCTTCTAAGTAGTAGTCTTTGTTATTTTCAATGAAAAGAAGGAACAAAACAAGGGAAAGAGGAGTCATCCTCCCAAACTAATGAGCTTTATCCAAAGGGTATCAAATTGGCACGAATTAGAAAAGGGTTTAACAGTGTACTGCTCTAAGAACTCAACTCCAATCTACGGAATTTTCTATTATTTGGTTTATTTCCACAATATTTGTCACAAACAATCCGGCACATCACACTTGGATTGTAATAGCTCAAGCTCACCGTTAATAGATATTGTTCTATTTGAAGTTTCCCTTTCGGGATTTCTCTCAAGGTTTTTAAAACGCGTCTGTTAAGGAGAGGTTTCCACAACCTTATAAGGAATGTTTCGTTCCCCTCTCCTTAGTAAGCACATTTTAAAACATTGAGGGAAAGCCCAGAAGGGAAAGCCCAGAGAGGACAATATTTGTTAGCGGCGGGGTTAGGCTATTACAAATGGTATCAGAGTCAGTCCCCTGACACAGTATGCCAGCAAGGACGCTAGGCTTCCAAAGGGATTGATTGTGAGATTCCACTTCGGTTGAAGAGGGGAATGAAGTATTCAGTGTAAGAGTGTGAAAACCTCTCCATATAGCGGTGAACTTGAGCGGTTACAATTAATCAACGCTGTTGAGTTTATATCAGATTCGAAATTAGACACGGCTGCTGAAGCTTATAATATGTCTTGGTAATATGTCCTCAGGTGACTATGAACCATAGTTATTGTTTGGAATCGCGAACCTCCGCGGTGGTATAATATTGTCCACTTTGAGCATAATCTCTCATGACTTTGCTTTTAGTTTCCCCAAAAGGCCTCATATCAATGGAGATAGTGTTTCTTACTTATAAACCCATGATCTTCCTCTTAATTAGCTAACGTGGTATTACTCCTTTCAATAATCTTCAACAATCCTCACTTCGAACAAAGTACACCATAGAGCCTCTCCTGAAGCTTATATAGCCTTCGACCAACCTCCCCTTAATCGAGGCTCGACTCCTTTCTCTGGAGCCCTCGAACATAGTACACCATTTGTTAGACACTGAAGTCACTTTTGACTACACCTTTGAGCCTCACAACTTCTTTGTTCAATATTTGAGGATTCTATAGACATGGCTAAGTTAAGGGTATGACTCTAATACCATGTTATGAATCACAAACCTCCACAATGGTATGATATATTCTACTTTGAGCATAACCTCTCATGGTTTTGCGTTTTCTCAAAAGGTCTCGTACCAATGGAGATAGTGTTTCTTACTTATAAACATGATTTTCTCTTAATTAGCCAACGTGGGATATTCCTTTCAATATTCCTCAACAGGTATTAGGTGTGATCCACCATCCCTGTTCGGGGATGTTAAAATATTACTAATGGATCATGTTCTGCTGTTTTTTTTTTTTTTTTTTTTCT